CATAAACAATGTTTCTCTGTGTCACCTTATATTTATGTAGATCTTTGTTTCCTTAGTCTAAAGCCCTAGTTCAATTTCTCTGTTAAAGAACATAGCCTCAAGACTTTACGTATGTAATAGCAAATTGACTTCCAGAGTATAATTACAAAATGATCAATCTATCAGTAGAAAAGTTCAACTCTGTCCTTTGAAGTCCTTTTTATAATTTATTCCCAACCATTATCTCTCCCAAACACACAGAGTAAGCTGTGTCTAGTACAGGATTGTGTTTTCATAGGTTATTTGTATACACTATTGTGACAGTCGTCTCTGTTTTTCCAGATGCAGTCCACTGCCTCACCTGTGCAATGATGCTTCTCAACACCGATCTTCATGGCCATGTAAGTGTAGGTTTGTGATGCTGTCTCACAGAATCTAAAGGACCACAGGTTCATCATTGCTTTTGTGTTCATACACACCTTTCTCTTCCCCCTTTTGCTTAATTCTCTGTATAGGATTCCCCTGGCAAGTATGTAAACATAAATGTTCCAAAAAGGGAAATACCTTTTACTCTACGTGGTAGCACAGAGAACGATTTTAAGTACCAGGTGCCTGGCCTGATTTTAACGTTCTTTTCTATATTTTCTTTCTCCACCAGATGGCAGACAGAGGTTTGACTTAGATTTGTTCTGCTCCTTTTCTAACTGGGTGTTATAGTGGCTGATATAGAATGTTGGAAAGAAAATATAAATTAGACCTGAAGTTGCCATTTATGTTTTAATAGATTTAAGAACTTAGCCTTTTCTGCATTCTTTGCCTCTCAAGTTTTTTGAACTGGATTAAATATCAAAATAAAAAGTAAAATATTAAAAAATACCTTCTCATCTTCGATTAACATAAAGGATATGATTCATAAATTTACAGTTGTAAATTCTTACCTGTATTATAAGTGAAATTTTAGTATTTTAGTTAATCACTTCACATTAAAGAGAACGAGAATATTTTAATTAAATATAGGCTATTCTGTATTTATTTAGAACAAAGCCCTAGGTCCCTATCTTTTGAAAGAAAAATGGTCAAGTTTATACATAATTGAAGTGTATCTCATCCTTTGACTTAATGGAATATATTTTACTTTAGAATTTTAGAAGTGGTGCTAAACAACTAATATTTTGATATCTGTTCCAATATTCCGAATGGCTGCACAGTTCTATTATTTGATACGTTGGTGCACCTCTTTAAAGAAGTCAAGAGTGGAGTCATGTGTGGAACCATAAGTTGAACTTGCTGTTATGAGAGGATTAGAGTATCCCTTTTGTAATTCATAAAAGTGAATTTAAAGTAACAGTAGGCTAGAGACATTTAGTAGGTGTCTAGAGATTGTACACATTAAGAATCTAGAACTTTGATGGAGCATTCTTAGATAACAGGGCAGTAATGCATCATATGGAATGAACTTATGGAGATTGTGAGAGCCTCAAAGTATTTAACTCCAACATTTCTGCAGCTAGTCCAGTGAATGACCAGTTCTATGAATTGTCCTGACCTCTCCTTTCCTATTACGGGATAGTGAGTTCTTACATTCTTCTCTGTGAATTTTGTGATGATAGTTAGCTCTTGCTGCTCTTTCCCTTCTATTCTACAATTTCTTTACTTAACTTTTTGGTTAAAAGGGATCATTTTGAATCTATGGGTCCTCACTTTTACCTAGTCAGTGATTCCCAGCATAAAGAGGCCTCTTCATATTGGATATTTTTAAAGCTCCATCAGCTTATATAAGTTTTATATTTATCTTTTGACCGAGAAAATGTGTCAAAAATGGAAAAATTAAGTAATATTTATCCTTGTTGGAAAGTTGAGTCTCTCACAGAATGTCTGTAGAGGTTGTAAGATTTGAGGGAGGGGACTTATTTCTATTAAATCCTGGATTACTTTTGAAAAACTAATAAAGCTTTAATAATATTTGAAATAAGCATACATTTTCTACTCATAATTGTTTAAAATATAATAAGTATGTGAGGTTTATTTATTTATTTTTAGTCAAATGACTTCCTATGGTTGAGTCCCAAACAAGCTTGGGAACTCTGGTATATGTAGCCCACAAGCTTCAGAATCACAGGTCCAGAGTATTTGCTCTAATCCAAGCTTTAGACAACATTTGAGGAATTGTAGGGGAATTAAAGTATCAGGCCCAAGCATGGTGTCACACTCCTATAATCCCAGCACTTGGGAAGGTAAGGTAGGAATATTGAAAGTCTGAGACCAGCCATGGCTACATAGTAGCACACTATTAAATAAGCAAATAAACAAATCGATGGTATATATAAGTGAACATTTTAATGTTTTCTGTAGTTACGCTGATTGGAGACAATTAACGATGTCTATAGTAGTACATTTATGCTATAAAAGGGGAAAATTATGAATTAAGGTCATTGTCTGGATCATATTTTTGCTGATAATTCATTCTCAGCTAATTAGCATCTGTACTGTATACCTAGTACTGCCTAGTGTTTGGATTTGGGGTAATATTTTTCTTGTCTCTTACAATGCATGCATTTACAAGTCTGCTGTGTAGTTGCTGTCATGAGAACTAATGGATGAAAATGTGTTTTTCTTTTGTTTCCCTCTGGATTCATTTTAAAATAAACTTTCCTTCTAGGTGGTAAGTGTTTACTCATAATTCTGGATGGAGATTCTCTTGCATCATGATTGCTTGATTTATTCTAGTGTGTGTGTGTGTGTGTATGTGACTGATTAGCATGGCCTTTATGAAGCTGAATCATTCAGAAGACAGAGTGAATTATCTGTGATGTTTGCTCCTTTCCCTTCTTACCGCTGCTCTGCCTAGGCCATCACTACCCATTACTTGATTCAATGCTAGAATAATCCTTTGGGAACTAAACTAATAAGCCATTTCCCCCCACTTTTGGACCATGTGCAACAGCATGATTTTTCTAAGCAGCGCTAAGGCCAGCTTGTCCTCATGCTTTCTACAGGGAAGGGTTAACGGGATAATTGGTTTGGGCTTTTTAAATTTTCTTTTGTGACTCTTTAAGTAATGATACTTTACAAATGCACTATTATGGGCCTTTGTTTTCCTGCTAATATTTTTACTAATAAAATGATGGCATGTATACTAATATAATAACTTTTAATATATAGCTTTATATTACATGTTGCAATACCTTTCTACATAATTCTGATGTGTTCTCTCATTCATCAAACACCAATACTGTTCCTACACCATTCCAAATTCTTTGCCATTTGGGTAGGAATCATAAAGGAATGAGATGTGTTCATCTAATCAATGCTCCTCTGTGCTGTTAGTAACAGGTTTGTTACCATTAATCAGATTTAACTGAAGGCAGGTAAGAGAAGCTGTTGTAAAAAAAACAGCAGCAAGGCTGAATATTTCACATGGAGTTATAGTTAAGTCTCACTAAATGGGGGAAATGTCATGCAGTATATACTGTGCTTTTCCAGACAAATTGATTGATGCTATTCATTACCTGCTATACATTATACATGAATGATTTATCATTATCTCTGCAATAGAATGCAAATTTATACTTGGCTGTGAATACTCTTCTAGATTAAGTAACTATTTTATGAATTTTCTCAGCAATCCCTAGCATTTAAAAAAAGTTTCATTATCTATAAAATGTATCTGAAATTAAATGTCTAAACATATGTGTGAATTTCCTTTAGATTATAGTTTGTTGTCTACTTTATGGAATACTGAGCAAGTTGAAAATTGCTTGGTGTCTGGAAGAGTTGAAATTTTTGTTGTTTAAACTATGTTTTATTGGAATTATGAATGCAAGGATTTGATACATCAATAAATTCAAATCTATTATGGACTAAGTTTCAGATGAATTTTATTCATTAAATTAGCTAGCTCTCTTATGTTTGAACCATAGTAAGGATTCAGCTGACATCCTGGCAGGATTATTGCCTAGCCTGAAGATGGAAACAGGGACAGGGTAGTAGGTAGCATTGGCGTTGCCACAGAGGACAGGAACTTTTAAACACAGAGTCACAATGAAGAGTGAATTACTAAACATAGTTGGCCAATTCTACAAGTAGGAAATCTCAAGAGATGTGCGACTCAGTGACTGTCCAAAGTCAGTACATGAATAGAGGAATTTTAATTAACTGTTTGTGACAGAATTCACTATTTAACATTGTAGTTTGAGACTCAGTAACATTTTTCATCCAGCCTTTCTCTGTGCTCTCTAGAATTGGCAGGAGCCAGCCACCAGGTGCTGTGCTTAGATGAGGTGGAGTGTGGCTCTTAAGGAGAATTCGTTGTTACTGCCTCCATGGTGCCTCATAGAGATACTTTGGGATACACAGGACATGCTGAGTGCCATCTTCATGGTCAGAGTTTAACACATGGGGCATAACTTTACTTGTGTTTTGATGTTGAGTTAAAATGTTTGGGGGTGGGTTATAAGCTTAATAAAGGGTAAAACCTGTTCAGTATCCTATATTGAAAAAGAAAAAAAAAGGAATTAAGTGTAGGTTTTATAACAGTTGAATCTTTAAAAAGACAGGAAGAGATCAGCTTAAGAAAAGTGACAGGAATCAGTTTCTCTTCCAGTCTATAAAGTGAGTTCTTGGGCTGACTTTGTAGGAATTTAAATGGTGGATAAATATTAGTACGGGAAGATGAGTACTGTAAACACTTTAATTATATTAATGCTTTAACTTCATCTTATTGTGGTCTGTTTTTTTCTTGAGAGTTTCATATATGTATACAATGAAATATGATCATAACCTTCTCCATTTCCCTCCTCCAAAACTCCTTCACATCTCCCCAGCATAGCCCTCTCACAACTTTATTTCTTCTTCTCCTCGTTCTCCTCCTCCTCCTCCTCCTCCCCCTCATTGTCCTCCTCCTCTCACTATTCTTGCCTCCCCTGCTCAACTCCCCCCTGTAAGTTCACCTTTGGGGTTTGGGAAATTGATGACAAGAATCAAGAAATTAACCTCCTGAATATCTTCTAATGCTTAACCCATGTCTGTCCATTGACCTCTTTTTTACACTTCCTGGGAACTCCAGTGACCCAAGGTTCCTTTGCTTTATAAAAGGCAAAGCTAGCCAGGGTTGCAAAGATCCAGGGGGATGCGAGGGATGCCCATCTTGGAACTGCAGTTACCATTGGACATCGTCTTGGAATCTTCCTCGTCCTCATTCTCCTCCTCCTCCTCCTCCTTCTCCTCCTCCTCCTCCTCTTTCTCCTCCATGATAAAACCTAGTTCATGCTGCCCACGTGTTTGTGGGTGTCGGGCCATCCACCAGAGCATGGTAAACCTAGTGAGAAGGAATATTTCTCCTTCCTTCTCCCCACAGTTCTATATGCAAAGGCCTTACAGCCCTCTGGGAGCTGATGAACCATACGTAGTTAATGTCCTTGGGTTGCTTCTGTAATTATCATTATTGTAACAGGCAACAGCCTTTTGCCTGCCTCCCTTCCTCCTGTCTTCTGGTCTGTCCTGTCTTACATCTTTGGTATCTCCTGCTATGGAACTTATCCCTGAATTATAAAGGATGTTTTTATTTATTTATAAATTTAATAAGGGGTCTAATCTGTGCTATAATTTCTGCTGAGCCAGCCCTTCCCATGCAGTCCCTTCACCTCTGTGGTGCCATGTCTTTTTTCTGGACTAGAACTCCAGCCACACTGGCTTCCACCAGGTTTTCATCCTTTGGGGCATCTCACCAATACTGAAAGTCCACAGAAGCAGTAATCTTGGATCTAGAGGAGCTAGGTCTTTCTAGCTGATGGTTGGGTTCTTTTTCATCAGTTTTATTTACTACCAGAATGAGAATGGATGGAATAGACTGAAAATCTGGCCTTTGGCTGTGGAATGTTTTCACAGAAAAATGTCATGATTTGAAATTTTTAATTTTAAAATGACCTTTATAGAATGCAGTGCCATTTGCTATCATATTGGACACTGTCTAGAGTCTAATAGGGATCTTCATTTAAGACCTTGAAAGTTTAATCATGCCCCACTCAGTGGTGTTCAGTTCTGTGACCCCTGAAAATGAAACCTTTCCCATTCCTCTCTTAGTGAACAAAATTGCCTTTTATTCCATTCTTTCAGAACAGGTTCATACACAAAAAAATACATCGGGCAGAGTGTTTCCTTTTTAATCACTGAGTCAGTGGATTCACTTAGGGCCTCTGGTGATCTAATTAGTACTTTACTCAATCATAAATATCTTTTCTTCATATCGTAAGCTTTTTCACACTTGCACAGTTTGTTAGGTGATAAGAAATGCAGGTTAAACTCAACATTAAGTCAATTTTGTTCTTGTAAATGGTTTGGGGAGTAGGAAGGGTTAGGTGAGAAGCATGATCAATAGCTAACTTGGATCTCCTGTCTCATCACTTAATTCTAGTCTTCTTAGGACAATCAAGTTAAAAGTAAAAGTAAGCTGGGCGTGGTGGCGCACGCCTGTATTCCCAGCACTTGGGAGGCAGAGGCAGGTGGCTCTGAGTTCAAGGCCAGCCTGGTCCACATATTGAGTTCCAGGACAGTTGGGGCTACAGGGAGACCCTGCTTCAAAAAGACTTTTAAAAACAAAACAAACAAACAAACAAAAGTAAAGTTAAATCTTTGTATTGAAAAAATTTATACGTGTGCGTGTGTGTTCACATGCCATGGCATGCACATGGAAGTCAGAGGACAACTTTCAGGAGGTGTTTCTCTCTTCACCACGTGGGTCTTGGGGATTGAATTCAGGTCGACAGGCTCCATGGGAAGAGCCTTCATCAGCTGAGGCATCTGTCTGGCCTGAATTTCTGGGTTTTGTTGTTGATGTTTCTTTGTTTGGTTGGTTTTATTTTTGTTTTTCTGCTTTTGTTGTATTTCATTTATTTGTTTATGTGTATGAATGTAAATGCACCTGTGTCATGCAGTGCCTGCAGAGGACAAAAGGGGCATCAGATCCTCTAACTGGAGTTATGGATGGTTGTCAGCTGCCATGTGGGTGCTGGGATTCCAACCCTGGACCTCTACAAGAACAGCCAGCACTCCTAACTGCTGAGTCATCTCTCCAGTTCTGTTTTGCTGATTTTAAAAACAATATTTTATTGATTCTTTGTGAATTTTATACAGCGTATTTTGGTCATATTCAGACTCCCCTCCCCAGTCTCCTCTCAGATCCATCCCACCTCCCCCTCCACTTCGTGTCCTCTATTATCTCTTTAAGGCCAGTAGAGCCTAATTTCTGTTCCCCAAATGCTCTTGGGTGTGCATTCACCTGTTGGGGCCTGGTCACCTTACCGGTACATTGTGACACCCTTAAAGAAAACAGACTCTCTCTGGGGCTGGAGAGATGGCTCAGCAGTTAAGAGCACTGACTGTTCTTGCAGAGGACATGGGTTTGATTCCCAGGACCCACATGGCGGCTACGAACCATCCTTAACTCCAGTTCCAGCGGAATCCAAAGCCCACTTCTGACCTCCCCGGCATTGCACTACACGGGTGCACTCACATACATGCAGACAGTACACTCAGACATGTAAAATAATAAAATAAAATATTTTTTTTAAAAAGAAAAGAAAACAGACTCTCCCCTTTTCAGTAGCTCTCAGCTGGCAATAATTGCTTAGCTAGGGCCTCTTGCCCAGCGCCCGTCTCCGTGTTGGTGTTTGGTTTGGGCTTGTGTAGGTCTTGTGCACACTGTCACAATCAAGCACTGTGGGGTTCACATGTGCAGTTGCCCTGTTGTGTCTGGAAAATATGGTTTCTTTGTGTTCATTTACCATCACTAGCTCTTATAGTCTTTCTGTCCCCCTTTCCCCAATGATCCTTGAGCCTTGGAAGGAGACGATATAATATAGGTATCTTCTAATCTCTGCATTTTTTAAATTAATTTTTTATTTTATGTATATGACTGTATTGCCTGCATGTGTGTAAGTGCACCCATGTCATGCAATGTCCATGGCAGTCAGAAGAAGGCCTTGAATTCCCTGGAACTGGAGTTATAGACGGTTGTTAGCTGTCATGTGGGTGCTGGGTATCGAACATGTGTTCTCTGTAAGAGCAGTCAGTGCTCTTAACTGCTGAGCCATCTCCCTATCTCTAGCCCCTGAATCTCTACATTTTGATAGGCTTCAATGTTTTATTTCCTCAAAGTGTATTATTAAATCCTGATAGAATCTGTTATTAGAGTATTTCTCTAACTTTAGTCAGAGAATGAACTTATACTCTTAAAAATGTTTGCAGACCCCAAAAGGTTTTTTGTTTTATTTTGTTTTGTTTTTTTGGTGTATTTTATACATACCACATTATAAACTAAATGCAGTGGAGTTCAGAAGTCAAATAGACAGCATGGTTTTGGATTATTAATTACACTTTCTGAGATAAAAATATAGTGAAAGCGGTAGCATTTACATTTTTGGAGTCTTTTTACTATCTGACTTAATCGGGGATAGCTAGATTTGCATATGTGCCTTTGCATTTAATCAGTTGCAGTATATCAGAAATCATGTAGCTTTCAGATATCCTCATGTATTCCTGTGAGAGGATGAGCATGGAAAAGTAAATGCTTCAAGTATTATTGCAAAAATAGATTTTGACCTCATTGAAACCTAGAACGGGATCCCAGAACTGAGGAGAAAATCCCACTAATATTTCAGATATCCTTAGTGTTGAATTTTTAACTACTTCATTTAAATCTATGATTGAAGTTTATGAAAGAACATACTTAATATTGTAGCTTCTTGCTTTAAAATTTGCAAAAAGGATCATGCCTGGCCCACTGGTGATGCATTTAAAAAGATGGGCACCTGGGGGCAGCAGAGCACAGTCACAGTCCCTTGGTAGAGAAGCAGACACAGCAAGGGCAAACCTGGAGCTCTCAGCCCAGCTACTGAACTGATGTAATTACCAAACCAGTCCTTTCCTTCTCATCATTTATTCTAACATGTTGTAGGAGGTGGAACTGTCATGTGGGAGGGTATGCCTGCTGTGTTTTAATAGCCCAAGATTTATGAAGCCAGATTGTACCAGTGGTCGATGAGAGCTGTTAGTCTCTCCAAAAGCACACTTTCCACAAAGGTCCAGACTCTACACTATTAACAATGAAGGATTTTAGGATTGTTCTGCCTAATTCTTCAACTCCTAAATCAGAATGTGTCCTGTGGCCCACTTTCCTGGCAGGTAGCTAATTGAGAGACTTGGCTCTGGCCAGCTCCCTCCAGGACTAGGATTATTAGGCTATAGTTGGAGCTTTGTAGAAAGTTCCATTTCTTTATCAGGAAGAGCATGCT